CCGGCGTTCAACGTAACACATCAGTGATGTGCGTGCCACGGAACACGGGAATGTAGTGTAGTGAACATCGATGTAAGTCGTACAACGTAACGCAGTAAACAACACATCAAACAAGCTGAGAAACTCATGGCCGAATTTAACTTGTCAGTTACTGTCACTTCTCTCACAAAAAAACGTACTCACCATCGCGTCGTACCCTATAGTCTGCATAAAGTGAGCAGCGGCAGCACCACGGTAATGATAAAACCACAGAGTACCCTGAAATTGATCTCCAGCGTCCAGGACCAATACATTATCGTGTTGTTCTTTCAATTCATTGATTTTCGTTACGATTCTAGCAACACCTCCAAAACATTTTCCTGCTTGGTGCTCATCTTCAGAGCAGTCTCCTGCCCGTTTGTCACTCTCATCAAAACGTGCATGAATGTCATTTGTATGTATGATGACCAAATCCAGCGCGGATACAGTGAGCAAAACGTTAACTAATACCGGAATAACTAATTCCAGATACATTGTGCAGCCGCAATGGGAAGCAGAGTATCACGAGTAGTCCATATTTATCAATCGCAAAGTGTTTTAATTGGCTGATAAATATAGAATTTCATTACTCATTTATTGTCAGTACCACATTCGTCTGCACAGACACATAAAACTCTCCGAACATTATAGGAAATAAAGCATTCTTCAATAACATAACTGTTTATATAGTCGATCGTTAATCGATTACGGGGGTTTGGATTTCTTAAATTTATACGCAGACACACGATTCATCTATGACGTATCGATTCACAACGAACTGAGTAAGCAGAAAAAACAACGTCGACAACTATAATAAATGTAAATTTGAAAATAACTGTCACAGAGATATGCAGTTAAAATTGTGGAATCGTCAGAAATCATGGCGCACTTCGACGTTTAAGTTGTGCGCAATCTGTTATTTATTATTTGTTGTTTAATCATTTCATATTTACATGAGTATTATGTTTAATTCGATTAATTGGTCTTTTTTTTAAATCTGGCGCTCGAGAAATTAAATTTTGATCCATCCATCCTTCATTCACTGGGTCAGATGTATATATAAAAACATTTCTAGTTACATTATGAACAATGGGGTTAGCTCTGGTTATTATAATATTAATAGAGGCACTAGACAAGGAGATCCATTATCGCCTTACCTATTTTTGATCGCAGTCGAATTCATGGCGATTGCAATTAGAAATGACAATGGCATTAAAGGTATTCATATTCACAATGATGTAATCAAATTGGCGCAATATGCGCATGATACTGTCATGAATTTGTTTTCACGTATCTCTTGACCGATTTAATTAGTTGATTATTAGCGAATTGCTGTGTTATGTCTGTCATCGTTCAGGTCTATTTGAAGTTTTGGACGGAACTTGGCTCAGTGGTTTGGAACTAATTACAAGATACCGTCGCTATTCTGACATCCGTAGTTATTAATGTAGTGAACGGTTAATCAAAAGATATGACGTATTCAGTACTTAGTGTGATTGGCTTTATGATTGAAGGTTACGCCCTAGAGTCTTTTTACTGTTTTGTAATTGGTCAGAGTTTTGAAAATGAATAAAGAGAGTTTGAGTTGGTCTTGGCGAAGACTCCACGACAGACGCAGTCCGAGAGAGTCCAGGGGCGAGCCTTGAGGCAGTCCAGTCTTGGGCTAGTCTTGGGTCAGCCTTGCGAGAGTCTTGGGGACTTTTCCCCAGGGCGCTGTGTCTTATAGAGTGTCCGATTGATCGACTAAGACGAGAGCTGAAACGTATTTAGTTGTGCGCGTCTTATTTGACTGTAAAGTATAAGTGACATTCCCGATCCCGCACCTCAAGGGGACGAGATATAGAGACGAGACGAGATTCCCCCCTGACAAGTGTGGAGAACCCCGAGAGTAGGAAGATTTCCCCCCTGATAATACCACTGCCCTCTTGCGTGATCTAAATTCTGCCAAATCGTTAATTTCCGTTATAAAATGCTTTGGAAAAATGTCTGGTCTTAGAATTAATGACAAAAACGAAGCTATGTTGATTGGGTCACTTCGTTACAGGAAGATAAACCATTGGATTTTAAATGACCTGACACCCCTATCAAGATACTAGGTATATATATATATATATATATATATATATATATATATATATATATATATATATATA